ACATAAATAATGAAGACCCTGACCACATGGCCCTTGGGCCTGATGGCTCAACTTAATGGAAATGGAACACGTGATTCTCCATCCTGACTATATCAATGGTGGTAACTGAGATGAAGGCTGTACTGGTTGGTCAGCCCCTCAGCCTGATGAGAGAATGAGCAAAAGCTGAGGGTGGAAGGGGGACGGGGAATTACTAAAATCAAAACCAAATGGAGACCAGCCTTGAAAATTCACTGAGCAAACAAAACCAGTTTAGTAATACAAGCAAAGCTTCATTTAAATTGTATTGCAAGGCCAAGTTGACCTGGGTCATTTGTTGTTTGTGCCTCTGGAAATCATAAGCAAAACTTAAACTGTGTCCCAAGGTTGATATAAGGACACCACTCACCAATTCCCTATCATTTAAGAAAACTCTATTACAACGAATCACTGTGAGGAATAACAGTCACTTCTTTCTCATTATATAAGATGCTTTATAACAATGTATCCCTGAGCCTCATTTCATGTTTTGGTTTGAGCGTTCTGGTTCGTGAACTGTCTTTTGGGGTGTGCACAATAAACGTTTACTTATTACTACTTTGGTGATTCATTTGTTTTACTTCCACTGTTTGTGAACTTTTGACAGTAAATCCAGAAGACTACAGATCAAAAAAAAAAGTCTCTACCAGTGGGGAAGCACCGCCCTTGCAACGCCAATCTGATCAAACACTGGGAGCCAGGGGGTCCTTTCAGCCACCTTACAGCTCTCCAGATACAGACTCAAAGACCCTTATAGCCAGCAGGCTGTCCAACAACTGGCATTCCAAGGGCCTCTGAAGCTTTAGGCTGCCTACTGGCAAATCTAGGGCCCTGTCAGCAACTACTCCACAGACACACTAGTGACTCAGAGACCCTTTTTTGAAAACCGGGTGCTGTGAAATCCACAACTCCTGCTCGGCCATCAGCAGGACTAACACTTCCAGCCTCAGTACACCTCAGCCTCTCAGGCCCCAGGGCTCTTCCGGAAACCTACCTGCTACCTTGGTGGTATCCAGGAGCACACCTGGACACTTTCTGCCGTGGCACTGGTGCCCTAAGGGTCCTTTCTGAAACAAGACTGCACACAAAGGGTGTTCTAGGGTAGCCTTATGGTAGCCAGTTCCCTTGCTGTGTCATATAAGGATCTACTGGTACCCATCCTTCCAGGCAGTGGGGATTCCGCTGCATGTTGTTCACCTTAACAACATTGTTGTTCCCGCTGGTGTAACCACGAAACCTTCCCGCCACCAGACTTTCTGACAGCCAGGTATCTGGGATTCCTTCCACCCCAAGCCTGTGCGAATGCTGAGAAATCGATATGCTGAGAAATCAGCCTGCGCATCTGCAGAGGAAAGGAGACCTAGAATTATCTGGCTTGCCCTGGAACCAAAAGGTCTTTGGCCATAAGCCTGATTGTGTGATGCAGAAACCGGAATCCTTTTGGTTACTGGACGGGCATCGGAAACTATGGCCCTTCTTGTCTTCAGCTAACCTGTTTGAAACAGAAGTTAGAATCATTTCTGTCATGAGCCTCCACAAGCGTTAGTATCCATGGGCACATTGTGTCACCATCCAGCCTAGATCCCAGGGTTCCCCCGTGTCCTAATGGCCACTAACCGGCCTTCAAGCTGAGTAACTGTGTACTCTTCCAACCATCACTCTTCTTGTAGGCTCCTTAGCCCATAGCCCTTGAGCACTGCGTCCATCTGGACACCTAGGTCCCTGGGGCCACCCCTGGACATATGCTGTCCAGGGTGCTGGTACCCTGGAGCAAGTCTAGATGCTGGTGCCCTATAGGTCCTGTCTGAGACAAGACTGCCTGCATATTGGGTTCCAGGAGATCCTATATGGGCACTAGCCTGATATAGGCTGTGAAACACAGGGTTCTCTACTAGCAAACATCCATCCAGAACTCTGATGCCAAGGGGCCCTTTTTACCTGCATCGCTACTTGGGCTGTGCCACATGGAACTTTCTGGCTACCAGATTTCCTGCCAGCTGGGGTTCCAGGTTTTCTGGTAGACTCCAGCCTTAGTGTACTCTGGGGAACTGAGGATTCTTTAGCGACATGCCTGTGACTGATAGGAGAGCTTTTCTGTTGTGGCATGGGCTTCACAAATAGGAACTGAGAGCCCTTCAGGACGTTTGTCAGTTTGCAAGGTTGGGTGTCTTAAGACTTCTAGTCCATCATCTGTCCTTCTATTGAGCCATAAAAAAAGAAGGAAATCATGCCATTTGTAACAACATAAATGGAACTGAGGGCATTATGCTAAATTACATGTCAGACAGAGAAAGACAAATATTGTATGATCTCACTTATATGCAAAATCTAAAAATACAAACTCATAGAAAAATAGATTAGATTTGTGGTATCAGAGGTGGGTTGGGGGATGGGGGAACTGGATGAAGGTGGTCAATAGGTACAAACTTCCAGTTATAAAACAAGTATTGGGGATGTTATATGTACAACATGGTGACTATAGTTAATAATGTATATTTGAAAATTGCTAAGAGAGGAAATCCTATAAGTTCTCATCACAAGAAAAAAACAAGTTCTCATTACAAGATTTTTTTTCTTTTTTTTTTTAACCTATATGAGAGAATGGATGCTAACTAAACTTCCTGTGGTAATCATTTCACAATATATATGTCAAATCATTATGCTGTATAACTTAAACGTATAGAGTGCTGTGTGTCAGTTATATCTCAATAAAACTGAAAGAGAAAAATAAATGAGATTTAAATTTTTAAAAATTATGTTTCAATTAAAAAAACTATAGCACACTCTTCTCGGTTATCATATTCTGGTTCTATTCATTGTCTTGAACTATTTCATACCACTGTAAATTGCAGGTAACTGATGGATATGAAAATTCTGTCTTCTCTGGTAGAGATTTAATTGACTTTTTCTCCCACCATAAAAAAACCACTTCTGGTATCTACCTGTAAATTGTACATGATCCTATTACTCGTCCAACCTTTCAACCTGTACCAAAATTTTCATTCTTCCAGTTTCTTTACATCTCTAGCTACATCCCTTCAAACTAACATTTCCAAGTTTTCTCCCTCCCTCTTACCTTGGCATCACCAAGAAATAAAACCTGACGACCAGATCCTTATAGGGACTCTTGGTGGCCTCATAGCTGACCTTTACTCCAGGATCTGAAGAAGGACTATTGAGTTAAAGTCTGGCCAACTTGATGTATACCTTGAAGAATGCATCACTGCAGCAGACTATGCATTGGGCTGATTTCTTCCCAGACAAGTGCCTAGGCCACTAAGGAAGTCTAGTGAAATGCCCCAGTGATGTATGCCCTTTTAAGAGAGGTAACAAAGACTGTCGATGACATCACCAAGAACACCAAAAACTCAATGAGCTGTGCTGCATAATTGAAATATTTTTATCCAATGACCCCTTGGAATTTGCTGGACCGAATACCCTTAGGGTTCAACTTCTGGATCTTTACGTCAATAGGACATTTCACAACAATGCTTATCTTTTGCATTTTGAGCATCAGTCTTTTCAGATGCTTGGTGTGTAGGACCTTAAAACAGCTGACCCCTACCAGCTGATCAAACAGATGGTTCAACTGGTCCTCCAAGGACAACACTGAGAAAACACTGACCTTGAGGACTATTTTACATAATCAACCCCTATTTCAGGTTCCCCGTGTCCCTGAGTTGTTCAAGGGCAGGATCACTGAGCCTTTCTTGAACAAGAGAAGGGACTGACAAGACTGATCAAATTTTGTGCTTGACATAGCTTCAGACTGGCTTGGCTAAGGCAGCTAGGCCCTAAACTTTATGTGAACGTCTGCACTGTCACCAAACCTCTAAATCAGGTGCTTAAGCACAAATAAACATTTCCTGCTTCAACCTTTCCCTTATTGCAATATTTGATACAGTTGTTAAGTTGCAAGCCCCCCCCCACTCGGCAGTTTTTAGCATCCTCCATCCTCCTTCTGTAACCACCTATCGCACAGTCACTGCATATAAACGCTTTGCCTGCCCCCTCCTTCTCCAAATTGTTTCTGTCTGTGGCTTTAAATATCTTTCGAGGGCAAAATGTACCTCTCTCCCTATTGCAATAGTCACTCTTAATAAACTCTTTCCTTACTAATTTCCAGACATGCACCTTTTTTTTTTCCTAGACAGGAGTTTGCAGTCACCAGCCTGCCTGTGTCCTGGGAAAACGAGGGCACTTCCAGTCACCTTACATCCCACCCTTGGCCGCGAGGCTCTTCTAGCTACCAGCCATTGGCCTGCCGGCGTTCCGGGGAAAGTGAAGGCTTTTCCTTTCGGCCACCATCCTTCCCACGCTTGTGTACAAGTGCGCCGCGCGAGTGCGCGTGCGCGCGTACTGGGGCCTGGGGTTCATTCCAGCCCCCAACCTGCCCTCGAGGTGTGGAACCTGGCGCCCTATCAGCAACCCCCTGTGCCGCACACCACACCGATGCGCTGGGGTCCTTTCCAGTCCCTGGCCCGCCCTTGAGCTCAGGACGTGGTTGCCCTTTCAGCCACTATTGGAACTTTTCACCTTGACCGATGTGGTAGTGGTGGGGCCTTTCCTACCACTTCTTTGAGCTGGTACCCCCTGAGGCCCTCCCGATCACGTGGCTTGTCTGACCGCTTAAGGTCCCGGAAATCTTCCATCAACCAGCTTGCCTGCACTCCGGCAACTGGGGACTCCTTTGCTGGTTTGCTCTTGTGCTCAGTTCCTGCCAGTTCCGGAGGCAGCGACGACCCATGCCTGGGACCTGATGGCAGAGGTGGAGGCCTCCAGATTCTAAACGCCCCGTGTCCCAAGTGGGGCCTGCCATTTGACTCCTGCAGTGGGCAGAGAAGTTGGAGGGTGCCAGAATGCGCAAAGGCACGAGAAGGTGCGTTCATGGAAGTGAGGTCGGCCTCGTGGAAAGGTGCATATCCTGGGACCCTGCTCAGCCTCTGTGTCCTAAGTGAAGTAGATGCCACCTCGTGCCAACCATGACGAAGCAAGGCCTTGCTAGCTCGATAGGTGAGTGGGGCCCTGGGAGAGGCCAAGGCGGGGGAGGGTAGGCAGCCGGCAGGTGGGCAGTCAGCCTGCTACCAGGCCTGGAGAGTGGGCAAGAGAAAAGATAGAACAACGTGCTGCGTTTGGCCAGCGGGCAGAGCCCAACATTTCGAAAGATGTACGGGTCATTTTAAAAAGGCTTAACACTCTAAAAAGACTTCTCTTAATTTTTTCCTCAATGTTTTAGAAGACAGCTGCAAATTCTTATTTTGCTACATCTAGGCTTCTAGACCTAAGGAGGTTGCTGACATTTGATTAAAAAAAAAAGTTAGAAATCACAGGAGTCTATTAACTGACCTTTTGTTTAAACTAAATCTGCTAAAACAAATGCCTTCTGGTATGACTTTGGGAAATGGAATGTTTAGGCCACCACTGCAGTGGAGACCAGGAACAACACAGGCATTTGTTCAGTGGGGTAGAGGGAGAGCCAAAGGCCTTCAGAAAAAGGGAAAGAGTTCCTATTAGGAAGCTATTTTCAGGTTGTAACGGTTGTTCTGGGTGTGAATTTTACTCCTCTTTTGTTTACATAGTTGCTAAGGTTATGTCCTGTTTTGAAATATCTATTCATTCCAAATGTTCCAAATTTTCTGAGATGCAGAAAGAGTGTTAAAAATAGAAGTAGTAAAAGAGCATATTTTGTCAACACTAATATTCATTTGAAATATTACCTTTGGGGAATGAAATGGCTAAACATCCTCTTTGAGCTGTACTTGGTTTTGCACCGTTGATAGCACGGAATGGACAAATAAATACCAGTGTTGCAACCTCTAGTATCTAGATGTTTAAGCATTGAATGCATTCTTAATTGTATGACTCAAATAGCCCATGTGTAGTACACTTTGTGTTGAAACTCCAAAGGAAGCCTTTCTTCTGTAAAATACTTTTGGAAATTCATTTGAATTTGTTCACCCACCTCTGAGCAGTGTATTTGTCTATACGTGTGTACCAGATTAGTGGTATAGAGGACGACATGATTGAGGGTTAGGATAATCACAATTAGAGTCACATCGTTGGGTTTGTGCAGTTTTGTTTCATGGTACTATGTATAAAGTGTGTAAATAAGTTTTTATCTTAGACAGCTACATTTTTCTAGATATTTAGGAATGACCAATGGACTTAAAGTAGTGGTCGTAAGACTGTTGAATAGCTTTGAAAGTATTGATGGAAAGTATTGCCTTTGGAAATGTCATTCTAAACGGCTTCTGTGAACAGTATACTATCAGGTATTGAGCATGGGATTGAAGGAGGTTGGAAGGGAGAAATGCAAAGGGAAGATATTACTTCTCACAACTTTGTATATACTTGACTATAGTATGTCCTTTTTTGAAATAGCCAGTCTTTCTAATGTTCTGAGATGCACCATGTATGTTAAAAGTAGAGACAGTAAAGTAACACACTTTGTTAATGTGTTTTTTTAAAAAATATTTTATTTATTTTTTAAATTGGGGAACAGTGTGTTCTTTCAGGACCCATCAGCTCCAAGGCGAGTAGTTGTTTCAATCTAGTTGTGGAGGTCACAACTCAGCGGCCCATGTGGGGATCAAACCGGCAACCCTGGTGTTATGAGCACTGTGCTCTAATCAACTGAGCGAACCAGTCGCCCCAAGTTAATGTGTTTTCCTGGGAGGTTAAAATTCATATGAAATCTTGTGTTTGGGGAAGGGAATGGCTAAACCTTCTCTTTGCAGAACCCATTGTACTTATATACTGGATCAGACAAAGAGGGAGGAAAAGACTAATGAATGTGTGCGTACTTTTGGGCATCCTATAGGAATACATTGTAAAACAATTCAATAGAAACACCTTCTATTATGTTAATGAGTAGACCTGATAATGAATTCTCTTACAAGCATTATATGTACTGTACTCCATTCCTTTGTGTCTCATTTTAAATGGAATATTAAAAGAATGCAGTATTTTGTTAACTCTGCCAACATTTTAAAAAGTTAGTTATTGTTTTCCAGTTACAGTTGACATTCAATATTATTTTATATTAGTTTCAGGTGTGCAGCATAGTGGTTAGACATTTGTATAATTTATGCAGTGATCCCCCCCGGATTAGTCTAGTACCCACCTGGCACTATACATAGTTGCTGCAATATTATTGACTATATTCTCTATGCTGTACTTTACATCCCCATGACTATTTTGCAGCTACCAATTTGTACTTGTTAATCCCTTCATCTTTTTCACCCAGCCCCACAAACCTCCTCCCCTCTGGCAACCATCAGTTTGTTCTCTGTATGTATGAGTCTGTTTCTGGTTTGTCTGTTTGTTGATTTTGTTCTTTAGATTCCACATTTAAATGAGATAATATGGTGTTTGTCTTTCTCTGTCTGACTTATTTCACTTAGCATAATACCTTCTAGGTCCATCCATGTTGTCACAACTCTGCCACCATTTTTTATCCAGAGGCTTGTCATTTTTTCATTTAAGCAATTTTTGACCTTGAGAAAAGCAAGATTACATTTCTGTCCTGATTGAGTCAGTCGTATTCTTGGTTATCAAAATAGTCATGGCCTTGTGGCTTTGAACTGGTAAATATCTTTATATGTGAAAATGAGTGATTTATATTATATGATCTCAACCAACCAGAAAAATCTGTGTTCACTTGTGTAAATGTACACACATGCACACACACAGAACTACAAGTTTAAGTAAAACTGTAAACTGCTTGTGATTATGGATGTTTTTTATGTCCTTTGCTTGTTGAGTTTTTAGTTTTCTATAAATTACATATTAACTTCTAAAAGTTGGGGGAAATGTTATTTATTTAAAAATCCAGTAAGTCTTGCTGGTTTTACTTCTTACTTCTAGCATCCTTAACAAGGAGTAGTGGTCCATCTTAATATTCTCCCCCAACTTAATGGCCTGATTTCTCTGACTAAAGGCTTATAGGACTATCTTTGTGGTTTAATCATTACACTAGGATATATACACACACACACACACACACACACACACACACACATATTAGCATTGATATTCCTTATGGATTGTCTTGGTATACAGTGAACACTTTCAGATTGAATACCTGGTTTTTTATTATAGAAAAACTCCCTTGTATGACATTCTTTTTTTTTTAAGATTTTATTGGGGAATTGGGGGGCAGAACAGTGTTGAGGAATGGGGGAAGGGGAACAGACAAGTAGCAAGTTGCTGTACTTTAGTTCTTCAGTCTAGTTGTGGAGGACATCGCTTCACTAGCCCAAATTGTTGGCACCATCATTGCGCTCTTCTCGGGTGAGGCAGTCGCTCACAGGCCATTGGATGGCCGCTCACCATGGCTCCTGGCAGCCCAGCTCCAGGTGGAGCTGTTGTTCACCATCTTAGCTGTAGAGGGCCCAGCGTCACTGGCCTTAATGTGGGTTCTGAACTGGGGCCCTGCTGCTCAGAGCTGGCATCCCAAACCAGCTCCTTACCAACGTGCCACTTGGCCAGCCCTGACATTCTCAAAATACGTGTTTTCTGTTCCATGTACTCTAGTCTTTTCTCAGGCCAGCCACTGTGTTCTCCTTACTCTCTCTGTGGCTTTTATAAATGCTCGTGTCTAGGTCACTGATTAACCTCTTGGTAGCATTGTTTTTGCTCTTTGCTCATGCATTTCAAATTTCTCTGTGTTGTCTCTTCCAGGCCTTGATAATGAAAGTTCTCTTTTCACCTCATTCCAGTTTTATATCATCTTGTAACTCATGACCTCATTTTCGTAGAGGCAGGTGACTTTTTAATTTGCTTGAAATTATGAAGAGTTGTCGAAGCTTTTTTCTTTCTCTTTTTTAAGGAACACTTCTAAGGTGTGCACTACTCTCCTGTCTCTTTTTTGCCTGATTCCTCGTCCCTCCATCCTCTCTCTAAGGCCTCTGCCTTTTCCTTTTCCTCTTCTTTCTGCTTCTTCCTCATTCTTTTTTCTCTTTTGATAATTTGACATAGTTCCCAGTTTGATTTATTTCACCTACTTATCTATGAATCAGAATATGCATCGTATTTCTTTGAGGAATACATGTATGCAGATATTTTTATTTGCTCAATGGGGGAATTCACTCTGGACTTGCTGCTGGCACCAAGATGGTATGACAGGGTTCACTTTGGCTTCTCTCATGCTCTCCCTGGGTACTGTATCAATTTTCCTTATAGACCATGAGCTGAAGGACTGAAAATAGATGGATAGAAAAAAAATGTTGTAGCTTGGTTAAACTTCTAGTGCAGTCTTAGAACTTCTCTTTAAATCATTCCCCACAGTTCTTTCTTTTTCATTGCATTAGGTTCTATGGGGAGACTTTCTGTCTATGTTCTATGAGGAGGCTTCTTCCTGCCTAAGATATACACTTTATATTTGGATATATTAGTAAGTTTTTCTTTTTTCGTTTACTTACGTATGCGCTCCTATATACCTATCTTTCTAAAAGTGGAGCCAAGAATTTCATTGCCAATATAATCCAAGGTATTAAATTATATTCTCTATGCTTGGAATCTAAGTTTTAACCTCCTTCCATGGTTTTAGAGCTTATTACCTACTTTCTCATTTTAACTTCCTTCTATTCTCTTCAGTCGTTTTGCAAGAAAATTTGTTTTGTACTTTCATGTACACCACCCTTTCCTCCAGTTATGTATTTGTCAACAAATGTTACTGTGTGCATTGTAATAAAAGCTACATTTGTAGAATGCTTGCAATATGTCAGACACAGAACTTTGCATAATTCTGTTTTAGGAGACAGCTAACTTTTCACAATTTTCAGAGGAAGAAACAGGCTCAGAGAGCTGGAAAAAATCACCCTACTTGTAGACCTACTAGCTAAGTAAGATTTTAACTCAGGTTTGTTTGGAGCTGGTGGGGTTTTTGCTTGTCTGTGTTTTTGTTTGTTTTGTACGATTGTTTCTGTGATACAGAGATCAAAAGTATAATGTTTGCTTGACTTCAGAGATACAATTAAAGGTCTTTGTATAACATCATCAATGATATCAGT